AATGTAGTACCATTATGTATTGTATAAGATCGAAAACTTCCATATAAATTATAAATTTATTATTAATAACGTCGACATTTCGTTTCATTTATTAGATATTGAATTAAATCCCATGTACTATCGCATTCATGTATAATTATCATAAATTTAAGTAGAACTTACAACATGAGTTATATAGGTATTTGGAATAAATTTCATTGAGGTATGGATGTGAATGAAGAGAAGATAAACCAGAGTTGGAACCGGACAGATTTTTTGTATCCGGTCCGGTCCGGCCAGTAGAAAAACCTGTCCGGTCCAGTCCGGCCGGAATCCGGCCAGTTCATTTTCGAAGCCAAACTGGCAAAAATCCGGCAAAAAATTGGAACTCAAAAGAAGCTTGTTTACGAAAAATAGTAAATGAAGTAAAATTTTCGATATTTACATGCGGATTTTTGAAGTGGACCGCCTGAATATATGTAAAAAAACAGCTTCCTTATATCAGATTCCAAGACATCGACTTTTCAAGCTGAAGATAAATAGAGATGAGCCGATTATATCGAATATCGACTACTCATCGTTATTTAAAAACAAAAAATCAAGCTCAGTAATGACTATCATGAATGACACATATTTTTCTCTTGTTCTACTAAGAACCATTCAAAAAGATCAAGACAGGAGAACTGCTTGAGTTTGTAGTGGATATGATGGTCGTGAGAGAGAAGTAGCAAATGGAATAGACCCAGAGTTGGAACCGAACAGTTTTTTCTGTCCGGTCTGGTTCGTTAAAGAATCTGTCCGGTCTGATCCGGCCGGCAATCGGCCGGATGAACTTTATAGCCAAACTGGCAAACATTCGGCGAAAATAACCGACTATGAAAGTATCTGTTCACATAAAATGGTGGCGAAGGGAAATTGAATATTTACGTGTAGAACTCCAAACTAGGAGTGATTACTTTACATTTACGAAAGTTTGATAAATCCAAAAATAAATTTTGTAAATTTAAATTTAAATTTATTTTAAATCTAAATTGGATTTACATAAATTTAAATTTTTTTAAATTATTTAAGTTTATTTAAATTTTTTAAATTTATTTAAATCCAGTTTAAACCAATATTAATTCAATTTAAACCAAATAGAATTCAATTTAAATTCATTTAATTGGATTTCAATCCATTCACCTTAATTCATATAGAATTTAAATCTAATTAAATGAATTTAAATTGAATTTTATTCCGTTTAAATTGGATTTATATTGATTGAAGCTGAATTTAAAATTTATGTAAATCCAATTTAAATTTAAAATAAATTTAAATTTACAAAATTAGAAGTTGAAATAAATTTACATTTTTAAAATTTACATTTCAAATAAATTTAAATTTAAAATAAATTAATAAGAAATTGCCACCCCTAATCCGAACTGGAAACTAAAACTTGGGAATGAAACTCTTTCCATCATATTTCATAGCAAGGTGCGTCAACCTTTCGAGTTCGATATCGATATAAATTAGCTATTCAGATCAAATCTGTTTTTTCATCTTAATTTCAAAAAAGGAAAAAAAGCAAGTTTATAAGAAATCTAACACAAAATTGTAAATATTTATTTTTCTTGATTCAGGCAGCTGCCTAAGTAAAACAAGAAAATAAATTATTTGATCTAGGTTAAATTGAGCGATACACGAGAAAGAAATCGATAGAGCTACAAAGAGAACAATCAATGATTTATAGTCAAGTTGAAGACAAGATATCTATTAAGTCTTTCGCAAACGCATTCTTCTGCCTTGAAAATTTCACAAAAAAACACCGTTTTCAGTAGAGAATATTCTTGGGTGCAAATAACAATTTTGTAATGATGAACTGGCAAAAATCCGGTTCTGTCCGGCCCGGTTTAACTTTTTGTCCGGTCTTGTCCGGTGCGGTCCGGTCCGGCCGGACCGGAGCCGGATTGCCGGACCGGTTCCAACTCTGAGATAAACACGCACACTCACGAATACCAATATACGAAAAGAGAAGAGAGCAAAGGAAGATATGCATCGAAGACAACTTATTCTAATTGTATTTTCATTTATAATGATAAGCAGTTCTCATCGAATTATTATTATTATAATATTGCATAAAAATTGATTAAATAACACAAAAATATTCGATTATTTGTTTTTAATATCACTCATTATAAGAAAATTTCTTCACCGTTTCTAAACAGGCATAAAGTAATATCGTCACGACTCCGACATTCATCTTAGTATTATAATATTTGTGTAATTAGCCAAACTGATAAATATGCTATTGAATTTTGCATCTTCAGAAATCATGTGACAAATATGAAATTCCATGAGACAGGATGGAACAAAAGATTTTTAGAAGTATTCTGTTTCATGGTACAGAACATTTTAGATGTTGCTCCGTTCTACATGGGATTAAACATTTTGAAATTTACCCCGTCCCACAAGACTATTTTTTCTGTTTCTTATTATTCCACGGCGAGAACTAGAACCAATACAAGTAGAGTAAGTAAAGTATTCTACTGGTACTTAAATACGAAAATGTAATTACTTTGTATTTTCACTTGATTTATAAATACAATATGACATTCATAATGTTTGTTAGCGTGTAAGTTGTTGGAGTATTAGCATAGTCGTAGGTGTGCAGGTGGATCTGCAAAGATGATCCGAAGCTACACTCATAACGATAATCATGGTCACACTCACATCCTTCTTCAAAGCAGATTGTTCCTGACCCTTCAAATACACTAATACTCGTGAAAATAAGAAAATTAAGCCATTTTACAAGTCATCTATCATTAAAGTTGACCAGTTTCTTTGTTCTCATTGGAACATATCAGAATGAGTGTTTATATAGTTAGGGTTAAACATCTGAATGACTACACGGTCATAATAACGATAGAAATAAATTTCGAGGGTAATAATTCATATCGTTTTTAACATCGAAGAAAAACATAATTTTTATTTAGTAGTTAAAAGTGCTACCATTTCTATCGTATGGATGAACTTGGTCTTTAAAAATACAAACTTACTAGTTTTCTCTTTTGAAAATAAAAGACTTTTGATTAAACTTACTCCCTATTGGAGCTAAATGAACTTGTTAAATGATCAGGACTTTTAAGATATTTTGCATATATGTATGTATGCTTAACTCGTCACTATATGAATAAGTTTTATCTCAAAGAGATCGTTATGCATGGATAGGTGTGCGTGTGTTTGTGTAGAGTATGGGTGTAAGTTATTTCTCTTCAATCACCATCATCCACATCTCATCCTGATGAATATAAATGAAACGTTAAAGAAAATGCATTTTATCATCGACAATAATTGAAAAATTTAGTAAAATTATCGAATATAAATTACATAATAATATTTTTGATATTGCATAAAACTAAATATAACTAAATATATATTGTAGAAATCTCTTCAAACTTTATTTACAAATATCAATATATCTTTAGACATTCAAATGTTAATTAGAAGAATAATGATGCAACTTCTAAATGTATTGCAATCGTTTGTAAATCATCCAAGTCACATAATAAGATGAGAACATAACAATAGCTTCTTTATTTGTGAAATGACATGTGCGACAAAGATTCAGCGTTCATTAGTTTATGTTAAAAAAAGCTTTACTATAGATTAGTTTTCTTCTTCACTTACGCAATGTCATCGTCATTCTCCCATTACAAAAAAGAACGACTTTACCTTCTATCTATTTTCGTCAACAAACATCATCGTTAGTCTGCAAAAGTTATCGTTCTCGGAAGAAACACTCAAACAACCATATTTTTTCTTTCTCTGCATGCGTTTGATAAGAAAAACGTGCATACGCATACTCACCATATCATTTGAGTTTTTGTTAAAAGTAAAGAAACAGCATACAATCGCTTACTTTCAGACAACCAAAGCAATTGAAAATCAAACAAGAACTATTACAGTATTTTTTTTGATGAAAAGTAAGTATTGATATGTGCCATGAAAAAAGTACAATATATTCGTATTCAACTTCTACTATATTTGATTCTCTCCTTATCTTGATTTTTATGAATCAGGTAATTTAACAAAGCTAATGTGTCCCGAAGGCAGGAGATGTATAGTAATGAATGGTTTCAATACCATTTCAAATTTTTTTTTACGATATAAACTCTTTAGCAGCAAAATGAAGTCTATCAATCGCGAAAAATTTACAAGTAACTTAAATATAAGAACTAGAAAGAAGAATTCAAGAATAGAAATAAAAGCCTCACTGTATACCTTAGGAGTCCATCGTAGTGACGATAAAACTGGAAGTATTAGAGGTTCAAACAGGTTCGCAAATAGTAGGTCCGAACTGTCCATCACAGTTTATGAACTTCTTTAGTCTGCCTATATTTGTCATCTGTTTTCATTGGCCTAGCTTACTTCCTTGCGTGGCTTTCCTATCATGGTCTTGCATAGTCTTTATATACTAGTATTATAGTGATATTTGACCGGAATACAGCAGAAAATGGCAGAGAACTTGGAAGTAGGAATCCAATGCACGGATTCATGGATCGAATTTTTTCGGTTCCCATAGAAATCACCTATAATTGGAGAGTATCAATCAGCAGATACGATCATCATATTGCTGCTTCCTAATTCGTACATTTTTTTGTGTGTTTTTGGACTGAAAACGAGTGCCAATATTATTGACATGAGACTGCTTTTATAAAAAGTCACGGAAGTCATGTATATCGCAATAAAACGAATAAAGAAAACATGAATATTTAGAAAAAAATAAGACAAGGTAGGCGGTCTGCCTGCCTATTTTGAATGGCCTATCTAGCATATTCCAGACTCCGAACACCATGTTCAAATGACCAACGTTAGTTTTTTTAGTGCATCATTTTTATTTCATTGTTGTGTCCCTCATCCATTGGGTAATGAGCCCTATAAGCTATACAAACGTAATTTGTTGTATGTTTTAGCTTTTGATGATTGATATGATTGTAGAGTTTTTATATAAAACAATTTTACTTCTTATCATTCATAGAGTGATGGCAACATCAAATCGTTGTTCGATATGTCGAAAACGTGCAGGAACCTGCTTTTGCCTTGGATGCAAAGCAATTTTTTGCGACGATGATTTTCATAATCATCGTGGACTCTTACTCAATGAATTAGATGGGCTTACGGTAGATCGAAATGAACTTCAAGCAAAAATCAACGAGGCCGCTTCAAATAAAAAGTCTGACAATCAGTTTCTTGCACAAATTGATGAATGGCAACGCAAAACCATCGAAAAGATAAAAGCAGCTGCTGAATTGATTCGACAGCAGGTCTTCAAAATAATGAATTCCAAACTGGAAGAAATTACGGTACAGTTCCAAACACTGTCACAAGAATTGCAAGAACTGCAAGAAACAAAAGGTGCTGTTGAACAGGATTTAACAAGATTGAAAGAAGAAATTCGTCGACTCAATGAAGATTTACAACAAGCAGCTCAATCACCAACAATCTACCTAAATACGAAACAGAGTGATCAAATCGTATGGGAAGGCATGATATATATCGAGGAAAACTCTGTAAATCTTGTTAATCAAATGTGCCAAACAAAATCAATAGGTGACCACCAATAGAAATTACACCAAAAAAGTTTAAATATTGTTTATTTTACTAACTAACAAATCATAAACTTGTTTTCATTCGATCACAATAGTGAAATTAGGAGCAGAAAGAAAAGTGATCATTTTAGCGTGGAAAGTAGATAGAGCAATACTGCGTTAGTCTACAAGATGTAACATGAACATAGCAGATTTAGATTCCTTTAACACTTCGTAAAAACATCTTAAGTATGTAAATGCTTTCGATAACGACACAGATCTAAATTATATGTTTAATCTGTTCTACAATATTCGAGACAGGCATTACTGATAAAAGTTTTCTACGCTTTCGTCTACGAGAACACAATATCATGATAAAATCAATATAAGAATCTTTGGGCTATGCAAAATATGAGTAAAAACCGTCTCTAGTCAGGTATTACGTGATTTATTATATATTGCAAAAAGATGATCCAAGCAATATTATGTGTTAGATTCAGCATCTAAATTACTATATTTCTCTGTTCTAGAGCCGAAAACTGAATCAATATATATTGGTAAGTTTATTGCATCTTTGTGCTCTATGTAATCAATGGCAGAACCAGACGGTGGTGAGAGAGGTTCAGCTCCTCTAGGAACTTTCGAGCTCTCTGGCGAAATCTTTCAAACATGGTTTCGTGCACCAAGAGGATTCAACTTCTACCTTTGGACTTTTGAGCTCATCTAATGAGATTTTTGAAGTATGCATTTTAGTAACCAGAGGACTCAGTCTCCCTAGTCCCAAATTCTGGCTCCGCTACTGTATGTAACTGTCATAGAAATCAGCCATTCTAATCTTTACTAACATCCTGTGATGGACAGGCTTCGAGCAGAAAAATATATTTATATGACGACCGACACCTGTTTTGAATGTTGTTTGAAATTTTTAATGGTGCTCGAAAAAAATCATCACATGAAAGTTCAATAAACCTCATTGAGATGTAGTGCACCAGTTTTCAAATGGTTAGACTAACTCGATGATGATCCAGTTAGATACTCGAAAAAAGTTACCAACTATAATTTCGATGAACTCTTCTAAGCATTTCGCTATTCAGAGTCAATAGCCAAACCAGTTTCTGCTTGAACGGTCAGGTTCTAATAGATTCTTACATAGTGCGTATTTTCATTTAGTGTACTTTGAGAGCCTCGAGCAGAACTATTTTTGACTTTATCAACTTTCAAACGATCAACCATATACATGCACCAATTACTCATAGAAATTATATATCCTACTTATTAACTCAAAAGTGAGCAGCCTGATGAAAAGCAGAATATAGCAATCTATACAGAACTTGGAAGAAAGCTGAGATCTACACTTGCTAACTAGTAAATTTTCTTCCCGATAGGATATGTTTAACTGACCTTGAGTGCGAGAGTTCAGAGTAATAAGAACTTTTAAGTAGTGCACTTATAGGGATATTATCAAAAATCAGAAATCATTCTCAAGCGAAAGACTTAACTTAATGGAAATCAATTCGTACCGAAGTGGCTCAGATTCTGTTATTTCTTGAAAATTTTTGGACAGTAGTCAGTCTAAACGAAAACTTAAAAACTATTCTTCCTTTGTGTCCGTTGATCAGAATGACATCAACTGTCTGCATCAATGTTGGTACTTCCGTATATAACACTTTCATGAAATTTCTTTAATTTGTTTTACCTATTTTTTATCGAATAAGTTTCCCGTATCATTAGTTTCTGCTATCAAGATAAAATAAGGTGTTTGTTCATTTAGAAGAGCAACAGCCAACGGCGTCCATTGTAAGGATAGAACTTCCATGTAATGGTCATGCTTGTCCGAAATGTCAGGCTGTTCATTTTTTATGCAATATCTTATTAACTCATTACATCAAATCATAAGCTTGATTTCACTGGAATTAGTGAGCAGGCTTCTGGCAAATGTACTTAGGAACTGCCATCAACCATGCACTTAACAACCACTCTTATAGTCTGAAAATATTGTCTATAGTGAATGAAATAGTTTTACATCATGGTGATTTTCATCATTCACTGCTAACTGACTTTTCATTACTCAAACATCTCGTAACATTTTATTTGACAGACCAAATACATCCAAATATAACCGTTGGTAAATGTATATAAAATGTTTATGCTCTCTTTATTAGCGTTGTGATTTCTAATATTCACTCGGAATCAAAAGAATAGATGAACAGAACTGTAATGAGAAATATTCATTTGTGATGTGATCTTGGATCATCTGATGAATCTTTCTTTCTTCTCTTCGAAATCAAATCAATAGATGAACAGAACTGTAATGAGAACTATTCATTTGTAATATGATCTTGGATCATCTGATGAATCTTTCTTTCTTCTCTTCGAAATCAAATCAATAGATGAACATCACTATGGTGAGAAATATTCATATGTAATACGATCTTGGATCATCTGATGAATCTTTCTTTCTTCTCTTTGAAATCAAATCAATAGATGAACATCACTATGGTGAGAAATATTCATTTGTGATGTGATCTTAGATCATCTGATGAATCTTTCTTTTTTCTCTTCGAAATCAAATCAATAGCTGAATGTAATCATTGGGAAATAGTCATTCATTTGTGATGTGATCTTGGATCATCTGATGAGTCTTTCTTTCTTCTCTTCGAAATCAAATCAATACGGGAACGTACTTATTGGAAGGTAATCATTTATTTGACTTGGGATGTTTGCGCAGTGATTCACTGGAAAGTTTTTCTTTGCGGACCTCAAAGAACATAGACTGGGCACGCGTACGGTATGTTCTTAAATGGTTAGTTTTTAATCAATCTCTCACGTTAAAATCTTAATAATGAAGTCAAACGTAATAGTTGAATCAACGACTCGTTAAGAGTATTTATTTGTTATATAATATTGTATCCGTTTTTGAGATCAAAGTTTTGGCATTTATGAATAAAAATCAAAAGAATGTAATGATGATAAAAATAGTTCATTTTCGTTCTGGTTTTTCGTCAATTTCATAACTCTAAATGCTTTTTTTGAAAGGAAACAATATACTTGATAATAACAATGGTAGAAGATGTTCGTAACGTATGACATCTTTGACAATCTACTCATAGCAATGTTTTTTCAAGAGAAATGATCTAAATAGAAGAGCAAAACCATGCAACTTGTCGTTTCGTATCATTCGAAAATTATCTTACCAGTTGTTTCAGACTGAATCATACTTTGAATGTGCTGCTAAGCTAGTACTAATGAAGACGAGTGAAAGCTTCTAAAAAGCTTTTCTTCTAGTTACTTGTTTTCTCAATCTTGCTTCAAAATACTCAGTTTTATTCAACAATATTTTCTTTTACATTTATTGAAATATAGTCTTATTAGCTCAATGAACGTTTTCATAATCAATGGGGAAAATGTGAGAATGTTAGTTTTTGATCAATACTGAAGCCTGTTTTGAAACTTCTATGAATATATGGTCTGAAACATCTGTATATTTGTCGTTGTATCTAATGTACGTGGCAGTTCCTTAATTTGAACAGGAGAAAAGTATGAAACAATCATTATTAGTCTATTGAATTCTACCGTTTCAAAACACATCTGTTTTGAGGAAGAATATATTTATTCTGACACCGAAAGTGAATTTGATATCGCTAGAAACGAAAAAAAACAAAAGAAAACCCTCTCTTTTTTTTGTTGACACAAAAGACGATGAAAAGTATAAAGAACATTTTGTGAAAGATATCATAGAACAATAAAAATAAAATAAACCTTCGATAACGAATCTTATTTTTGTGTCAAATGCAAAATTAATTAAATTTCTATTTTCAGAATGAGACATAAAGTTTTATGGGAATGAATGATCCTTCAATGATGTACTACATGATATCATTAATATAGGTATATAAAAACTTCAATGCCATAGTAAATTGTCAAAATCCAATATTGATAAAATTGTAACATATTCGACTATTCTATATGAATAAAGTATTACCGTATGGTCTGATGTTCTATTTTTAAAAAAACGATGATTCAAAACATTTTGAACATTATTTTTATTTAAATATAGTATAGTGAGTGGTAAGCACTCATTTATTACAAATAGAAACTGTTCAAATCATGAAATGAATATGGTTTTCAACAAAAACAAACTGAGAATTCAAATAATGTGGTCTTATCCAAGGATACAAACCTTTCCAATATGAATCATATTGAAAAAAATACTTCGTTTTGTGTTATTGAAAATTAATAAGTTCAGTAATAAATCTGAAAAAGTCTATTCACAATTTATTTGTTTTAACTACCAATAACATTTCATAAAAACAGGTGGCACATAAAAGTGACTTGTTTCTGTTGTAATTTTCCAATTTATATCTATATATGAGAGATGATTTCAAGACAAATACACAAAAGTTCACTAGTTTATGTTTTGCAATTGAAAATATTCTTTACGAGATACCTTAGAAATCATATTTGATGGTATGATATGAACTATTTGTTAGCAAAAACTTGAATTTTTGAGCTTTAGAAGTCATGTCTTGTTTTCATCAGTGATCAGTTAACTTAGCGAAAAATCATAGATAGAGATACATTATACAAAATACTTGATTTCACAAAAGTTACCAGGATGACAAAACATATCCAATTGAAAATTTCATTGAAAGAAATAAAAAAAAGACAACTTCAAAGTAATATTTTTCAACATAATAGCTGACATAGAATAATAACAAAGCGATATTTGATGTAAGAGATAAGTACTGAGTCTATCAATTTTATATACCCCAACGCACATTAATGTTCATAGTTCGAATGTTAAAATCATTTGATCAAATTGAAATGCAAGTAATTAAGTAGACAGACTTAAGAACTCAGTCCGGTGGAAAAAACTGTTTTTCTCGAGCATCAAATCTTGATGAAATTGCCAGTGAAGGTGTATCCCGAGCTCAAAACCTTAAAGTAAAAATTTCAGCTTAATAATTTGAGTCTATGAGTAGTTACCTTAAGATTATGAGTCAAGATATAGGTGTCTGTGTACGTGCTAAAGGTCT